TTATTTATGGATACATTTATACATGTATTCACAATTGATATTATTTTTTAAATACATGTTGCAAAATAAACGTAGTTTAAATTTGATACGTATTTAAATAATTTATTGTATTAGTTTAGAGGGCTTAATATTTATTCAGCTGTACTTTATATACAAATATTAATATTTTTAAAGATTAATCATATTATCATGTTACACCTACAAATTATCCAATTCAAACTTTATTACCCACTGTTTTATAAATTAAAAGTAAAGAATATGTTAAAAGTTATATTTCTAATAAATATTTTAAATTGCACCTTTACCAACCTGCTGACGAGGCGGTAATTCTGAGTGGCTATAAACCCTCTCAGCTTGGGGTTGCCTTTGAAAATGTATTTGATTTATAAACGTGACAGCAAAATAAATACCTAAGTCTAGAACCTTTTTAAATACCACCTTAAGAGCATCATAATGCATTTTAAAAGCTTGAAACAATATTAAAGATTAATTGATAAGCATTAAAATTGGTTAGTTATTAATCAGGCATAAAAAATTGAGATTAATATTTTAATTTTTTTGAACACGATTTAGCATAATTAGCTTCAACAATTTAATACAGTGTAGGTATGGCAAGGTAAATAGTTAAATTACCATAAATACCATGGATCATAAAATGCCCAGCAGCAATTAAAAAACTACTTCTTCAGTAATTAATTTAAACACGATCCTATTTAAGCAAAGCACTTTTTTTATTTTTTATTTAAATAAAATTTGCTGAATCGTGAAATTTGAAACTAATTAATCGGTATAAACAGTTAAGTCAAGTTCGTCCGACCATATATTGTTTAAATTGGTTTATAATGTGGAATTTTTTTAATAATTATGCATTCGCAGTATGTTTAAGTTATTAATTCATAAATATTTTCGAGTTTTGGGTTATTTATGTTTAATATGGCTTAATAAATACGTGGCCAACGTTTATAAAAGTATCGGTTTATGTTTTCACTATTGCCCAAATTTTGAGTGGGTAAACTTTAATGATCTACCTACATTAGCGTCAAATATAATGTAATATTTATTTGAAATATATATATTATTATAGGGTGCGTTCCAGAAAATATTACAAGAACACGTTGCAAGTGAATATTACAAGAAAATATTGCAAATATTATAGGCGATTGTAAAAGTATGAGTGAAGGTACATATTGCAGGAGAAAAATGTATCCATCGTTGTTTTACTTATATTAACATCTTTCTCTTTTAAGGTAGAAAACGTCTCCCTTAAAATACAAAAATAATCAATTATTATTTTTAGAAACTAAGACAAAATTATTGTTAAACTGAGAGATAAATAACCTCAATTATTTGCATTTAAAGGTCAAGGCGGGACATTTGTATTCTGTATTTGAAATATAATATTAAAACGTTGCAATCTGTTTGATACAACTTCTATTATTATTATTATTATACAATAGATTATACACTAAAAAGAACCATATCGTTGAAAAAAACGATTTTTGCTATCAATTTTTCGTCAAAAAATATAAATTCCCTCGGTATCGTCACGATGTTGTAATATAAACGATGTATTGGTATATTGATAGGTATGATAGGCGTTTCAGGATTTTCGAATGCAAAAATGAAAAAATTCCGAACATAACCAAATTCTTTGACAGTTATCTTTCTACTTTTTATAAATCATAAAATAATTTTTAAAATTCAAAATTTACATCTTTATATGTGCTTTACCTTGATTTTTAAACGATTAAAATACTTTGAAGATTATTAAACATAACCTAGAAACCCTACTTTATAAGACCGTGCTAAAAACAGAGTTATTCGTATTTCTTGACACATCTTAACATAGTGACGTCATCGAAGCGCCTTAAATCTTGCGTTTTTTTAAACGCTGCAGGGTTTTCAAAAACGATTCTTTTTTTGGAAAAAATTTTTAACGACAAACTTGTATGCGTAGTGATGTTACATTGGACTGTCGTCATCTTGGTTTTCTTGATTTTCACAACGTTTCGATTGGTTGTCTCCAATCATCTTCAGGTGATAATGGTAAAATATTTTGAAACTTTTGTTTAAATAGCTATCCCATTATCACCTGAAGACGATTGGAGACAACCAATCGAAACGTTGTGAAAATCAAGAAAACCAAGATGACGACAGTCCAATGTAACATCACTACAACTACTTCATCTATAGATGGTATACCAACACCAAATTGTATGCGTAGATTTCATATCCATATGCAATAATAAAATTACCTACATGTCCAAACTCCATACCGTAAAATACGTTCAGATTATTTATTTTATCAGACTCAACCTTAAAAACTTCTATACAGCTTTTTAAGGGTGTATCGGAAGTTGCGTATGATAACGTTGCAATAATTCCAAATCCTAATAAAAAATTAAAGTACATTATTACACCTATTTACTGTATACTTTATAAATAATTTTTCTTGCTAAATTAGCAGAATAAACGACCAAGGTGTTAGTTTTCGTATAAATAACCAGTTACATTAGGAGGTACGATGTCGACAATTAATTAAAACTGCAAAAACATTAGCAAGGTGTTAAGCAATCGTGCATGTTTAGTGTGTTCGATTTAAAATTTTGATGAGGCAGTGAATTCGCGTGGATTTATTGCCCAACCATCGCGTCGATTATAAATTCGAAAACTTTATACATGTTAACACGGCATAACAACTATAACAATACTTCCAATCTAGCGGCGAGCGGGTTTAGTTTCTTACCCATCGTTGAGTCTCTCAAGAGTGTATTATGTTTGTCGTTCTTCGTCGCACGCGCCACGAAACTATTTCCATCTCTTTCGCTCTCGACTTTAACACTCGTGCCTTATTCTTCAAAATATCGTGTAGTCCGGTGCACGGTAATAGCAGAGCGGTTCAATATTATGATGTTGCTAGCTCGGTATCTTACCGAGTTGGTTTAAATTAATAATGCTTATGTTTATCGGTTTTTTGCGGAATTTGCATCTTAGTTAGGCACGTACCGAGTACGAAGTTTGCTACGCATTATTTTATATTATATTTAAAAAAAATTTAAATATAAAATATAAAAAGCAATATAATTAAGAGTAGACCATGATAAACGAGAGAACAAAATTGTCTTTCATTATTAAAGTGAAACTTTTGAAGGAGATGATAGAAATCAAGTTTTAGAGTTATAATTATAATTAGAGTTGTGTTAATTATTAATTTACTTACTTATTTCATTATTTTCTTTTACAAATTTATAGTTACTCACTAGTTGAGGAGTGATTTTTCAAAAAGTCGTATTTCCATTTGCAACACATTTTCAAAAAACGAATATAACCTGTATAGGTTAGGGCGATATAGATTATTTAAAAAAAAATCTGATGAATATATAATATACTATAGTATACTACTTCAGACCTGTTGTAGTATTGGTGGTTTAAATTTAAATATTTATAGCAATGGTATTTTTTTAAATTATTTGGAAATAAGACCATTTTGGAAATGTGCCTTTTTGCTGTGTACAAACTTGGAAATATTACTTTTTTATTGATTATCGTTTTTAAAAGAATATATGGACAAATATCTTTATTTTGCTAACAATATTGAAAAATGTGTAAGGCTTATATTTTAAGGATATCCATATCTGCCTCATTACATAAACACATCCCTTCTTCATCATATTCTTGATATTCATTATCTTGTGCAACATATTCATAATATATGCCTTTTAACCACACCTTTGTGATTTTGTCGAAAAATGACATTCAAGTAAAAATGGAAATACGGCCTTTTGAAAAATCACTCCTCAGTTACTGATTAGTTGCTGACCAGAAACTAAATAGTTATTGATTAGATTTTGACTAGTTAGGTAGGTATACCTATAGGTATTGGTTGTTATTTTAATTTTTTTTTTTAATTTAAAAATTTTGGATATTTTGAAAATTACAATTTTTAAAATTTTATAAAATGAAAAAAATTTTGAAATTTAAACTCATTTTATTAATCAAATCATTTTGATACCCATGTCAAAGAGGTTATGAAAAAATAAGCAATCCATCTTACGGTGGGTGATTTATTTCCACCTCTTTCTTATACAGATCTTCAATGAATGACATAACCTAAAACTTAAAACCGTTTAAAATCTCTCTACAAAGTTTATTTTAGCGTTTAAAAGCGTTTTATATTTTCCTTGACATAATAAAAGTAAAACATTAAGCGAGACAAATTAAACGCTTCAATTTTTCTCTTAAGAAGTTTCACTTCAATAGCAAAATTTTTGAAATAAAAACCTATCCATTGCTAAATTTGAACTTAATTTTACTATTATTAATGGGAATTTTATGAAATTGCTGCCACAATATATATTTTTCTATAATTTACAGTTTATTACTATTTGTAGCTTAAAATTCATTTACATATAAATTTTAGGTTATTATAAAACCATTTACTATTTTTCGTTATACGGTACTTAAAGTTTGGGAGTATTTACCAAACATTGTAATAAATAGTCGTTCATAAAAAGCTTTTAAATAGCTGCCCACAATTTGATTTTTTGGTAATAATGTTTTAGATAAAAAGTTCTATCTGCGTAACTAAGTAAATCAGTAAAAAATTAGTAAGTAACTAAAAATTGCTTTAATTTATTTTGTAACCTACAAGTAATAAAAAAAACATTTTAAAGGTATTGTTTGGGACAAAAAAAGTAAAAACATTTTCCAAACAAAACATAAGGAAAGTAGGCAATAATATCTTGACAAAAAGCACAACACGAGCTACTTAGGCTTAGAAGATTTGACTATTGTATTAGAGACAGAGGAAGAAAAAAATGTACCATGTAAAACAACCTCTCAAACAAATCCCCTTCTTATCTATCCGACATCTCTTCAGTGCCTAGTCGTAGGTAGCGCGCGGGCTAACTCTCGTTGCCGCTAGCCCGAAACAGGCACCGAACTTCCCACCTGTACGCTGTTCAGGTAAACTAACTAAGCTAGGTGTGTGTGTGTTTCAGAACCATGGGCTCGCAGACCAGTTGGAAAGAAAGCGCGCTGGCGAGTGGACGTCACACCATGTGACCAACAAACACTTTTGGCTAAAATAAAACTTCCCCGCGCTGCGAAAGCATGGGGACCCACCGGTGTTTTTGTGTTTTTTTTGTGGTGATAGTGTTGCTAGTGATAAGGGATTGCAGTGGTGCCAGACACGGACCAAGGAGCAACCATTTTTACAATTCCTCAAATCATCATCATATGAAACAGACTAAACACCCACCACGAGATCAAGGAAAAAGTAAGTCAACATCGCGCCATACAGTGACAGTGCAATGTGTGAAACGGATTACAAACAACAACATTCTTCAATAAAACAAATTAAATCGAAAAGTTATCGGGATAAAACGCGGGAATTTTATAAACACAAACCTACATCTGAACCCATATCACACACTCCGTTATCATGTTACTACACTGATAAGTAAACGCAGTAATGCAATGTTTATGTTTCAATAACAACTGTAGTAATTTTAATTTAGTTTATGCTCCAGCATTTTAAATTAACAAAACATTCCAAAGAAATCTCGTTTATTTGTTTTCTTAAGGCAGCCTTTCTACTTACATAACACGTGCGACACCTGAAATTTTCCTTATACAGATAATTGACAATGTCCGTGCAAACTTATGATCGGCGATAGCTTCGCTAGCAAAGCACAGTTATTGGTCAATTGAAAAGTTCCAGCCAATAAAAGCGGCTTTCACCGATTACTGCGATTGCAAGATCCTGGCCAATGATACACTTTTTCTATACTATATCGAACAATATCAAATTGATTTTATCAATTAAGATAACTTGATGTAATTCAATAAGCGTATTCCATTTTTAAAAATATCTTTAAAAATACAGAAAGGCGCAGACAATGGCTGTATAAAATCTACCTGCATTTAGAGACTTTCTTAAACGAAATCCGATCTAAACCCTGCTTAGAGATTTTTTCTACGTGTTTTAAATTTTATAAATAATTGTTTGTTATTGGTATGGAAAACAATTATTTTTTACATTAAATGATGAAATTCACTAAAATCTCCATCCGGTTTTCACACATTGCATAACACTTCCATGTGGGGGTTTTGTCTTTATGGTAATTGTAAACAAATCTCATTTTGTATAAATTTTATGATTTTTTCAAAATAAGGTTTGTATATCTATGTATTATTAGTTTTAATTACATATAGGTACCTTATAAAAGAACATCCATTTTAAACCAATTAAAATCAAAATCATGACTTGGTATTCTTTCCTATCATTTGACGATGATATTGTAAAAAAATTAATAGCATGCTAGATAAATGATACATAGTTCTCTTAATTATTATATAATATATTATATTAGGCATATTAAATATTTATATGTATTATTATTTAGAAGGTCCAAGGACAATGGAAATAACATCAAAACTTTTTCTACTCTAATAGATTTTATGTAATTTTTTACAGTACCTACGATTATCACTCTTGTTTTGAAAAAAAATCTAAGCACGCACATTATTTTCCAATATAACATTGTAAATCGTAAATCGTGATGTTTTAATTATTATATTTTATATAATTCCATTATTATTGTCAGTAACAATATTATAAATTTGGTATATTTTGTCTTAGATTTAAAAAGGTAATGAAACGACATTAATATATAGGATATTAAGTAAATACCAAAATATACATACGATGTTGGTGATATCTTTGTCTGTACCTTCCACGTTCTAGAAAACCGTTACATTTTAAATATTTGCTTTGATATACAACTAAAGGTGATTTAAAGATAAAGTCAGTTTTTGGATTGTTAAAATTGTACCTACGTATTTATTTCATACGCAGTAAATTTTTAATGTAGGAAAAATACCACAAACTATAAAGATAAACAATTATTAATAAAACGTTGTATAAATTCAAATTTGTTATACCACAATTGTATAAGTTTAATTTAATTGAAATAATATTGGGAAAAAAATATTTCAATAATTCTTATAGTTGTTAATTCAACAGGTTGTGGTTTAACACCTTTTATTTGGTTCTTCATTTACTTCAGTAATTCAGTAAATTTATGCACAGACTCTGTAAACTTAAAGTATCAAAATTTATATTCATGATAATTAAACCTAAAAAAAATACCAGAGTAGCTAAAAGCCTAACGGAACTAATGATAGTTATCATTAACGTAGCATCCAAATTTTACTGCCAGAAAACTCGGGCCTGCATACTATTAAGTCCGTGGATTTTTCAACGTTCGAATGTTATTAAATTTTGTCTTTCAAATGAAAGTAATACAAAACTAGACACTTGCTTGGGCTGCTTAAAACCTGCTGAGTAAATTGCCACGTACAGTAGAATGACCCAAATTATAAAGAAGAGAACGTATTCTAAATGCTACGAATATTCTCTTATTATACACAGCAAATGATACAGTTTCGAGAAATCCACCTAAAGTATAGTTTTTCCTAAACCAGTTTTTTGAACAGGAATCGCATTGCCTTCAGAGATATTATGTTTTAGAAAAAATACATAGTAAACTTTCGATTGTTTAATTTGAACTAAAACAACAGTCGTTTATCGCTTAATAGCTGAACAAACAATTTTGATTTGATTTTCCACAATCACGTTTTGGGGTAATTATTGATAATTATTATGGAAATCATATGTTCCGTTCAATGGTAATTTTTGGTTTCATGCGTATTTTCTGTTTACAATACAATGACCATTCTCATGAATATACATGGTCCCAACTAAACACAAGTTTGTTTACGAAATACTCATTTATTTTGTTGTGTGAGAATTTAAGAATTTAGAAACCAGCGAACGGTTTTTGTTGGAGCAAAATAAGCCATCACAATGGATAAAGCGAGTCGAAAACATTGTATGTAACGATAACCGACATGTTAAAACAATATTGCTTAAAACAAATTCCAATGGCCGAATGAACATGCACGATCCAGCCTCGTATGAAGCGATTGTTGGAGAACGACTTTCGAGTCCACTACATTATACACTATGAACATGCAAGCAAAGTTCTTGATCTTGATTAATGACGTGCCTGAGCCTCATGCTGCCGCTTTTTGTTTCACTACAGACCGATGGCTGCCTCAGCCAGGATAATATTTGTATTGATTGCTGCTCGATTGGTTGTTATTATCCCTTTATCGTCCAAGACATAAAAGAACCAGCTTGACATTCAGTTTTATTGTTTAAACGAAACCAAATGGCCAACAAACAATGTAAGACTAATTATCTATCTTTGGCTACATATTATAAAATATAGACTCATCCTAATTTGGATCTTCAAATTATATAATATCATTAGTTGTCGAACAACAGGTTTTCTACTTAACGTAAAAAACCTGTTGTACTACACTGGATTACCCCCAAAGTCAAGAGCTATGGCCCAAAAACTCTTTTGGGCCGTAAGTGGTGTATGATTTTTTACTCCCGCTATGACGTCCTCTGAACGGTAGATGGGGCTGAACGCTGCCGCTTATAAAGGCAACCGCTGGCTACCCGGCACTGATGAGTTCCTGGCCAGTTATCACCATCTCATTAGTCTCATTAGTTGCTGTATCATCAATAATAATTATAACTGAAGATAAAATATTCCATTAGGTAATTGAACAAGGTTGCAAACTATTTGAAAGTTATAAATTGGTGACAAGGAGCGGCGATTTGAACATATGAAATGGCACGTTAACACAAACAAGCTCAGTATTTTATTGTGTATATTAGTAAATGTCACTAGAGAAATATATGCAGTCGAACTAAATATGGCTCTCGAATTAAAGTTGTTAAAAGGAGCAAGTTTCGCTTTTTTGCCATAGAAACAATTAAACTGCGATCAATCACATTCCGAAAGATTTTAATCACCGTCCAGCGAATTTTTGTAGATTTCTATATGGTATAATTAAACCAGATAGGTGTACTTTGGATACAGCGAGCAATTAATTGCTCTTGTGCCCGCGCTACAAATTATGATATTCACATGAAAAATTTAAGTCATCGTTCAGGAATGCGTACTCCAGATTAGGTAATAATTTTTCGAAGCATGATATAATCAGACAAATAATAGGTTGGATACAATTATACTTAATTTTCGAAAACGAAAAGCATCATTTTCTATTCCATTTCAATTAGAATTTCAGTAAGATATATACAAAGATTCCGTGTATTTATGGTAAATAATTTAATTCGCCTTGAAACAGCATTCTATGAGCATAAATATATTATGATAATCAAAGAATTTGCTTGAGTGCGATTCGTATGTTGACATTTGCAGAATTCCGATTTATGAATCCTTTTTAAATTAAAATAGAAGACGTCTGGATGTGTTTTGCGACCTTTTATATTATATTTAACCTTGAATGTTCCTTGTTTATTGCAATTTTTAGTATTGTTTTAGTATTCTCAAATATTAACTTTGTCGAACGTATTAATGAAATCAATATTTAAACGCAAAATCTTACTTTAAGGCTCTCAAACAATGTTTATTTAAATTCCACAGGTGTGTCAATAGAGACTTTTTAATTGACTAGCCGCAGTTACATTCCTTTTCTTAGAAAGCCATTTGAACCGGTGTTGTTTTTAAAAATCATAAATCAAACCCGGTTTATTAGACAAGTATTAAAGTTCTTCTTTCGAAATAAACTCGCATAAAAATTTGAACGTAACCCAATACATCAAGTCCAATCATAATTTCACGCTTGCTTAGGTTACACAATTTGACATTGTAATGAGTATCAAAATACCTACGACAGTAGTTTTTTTTTATTAAAATGCAGTGGAGGAAAAATTGCATGTAAATTTAATATTTAATATTATGTTAACACATCCATTAAATTGTCATTTGGGTAAATTATGCGACATTTTATAAATGCATATTTAAACCCCATTGTTTTTTTAAGGTAATCAATTCTAGTGCGCAGTGACTTTATTGAATTCTAATTAGGCATTGAATGTTTTGGAATCTTTAATTATGATAAATAATGTGCCTAAAACAATAACAAACGATTTTGAAAACAGTATGTTTCCTGAATAATAGCTATTTATGTTCTATATGCATGTACACCAAGAAGTGCTGATCTCAAAGTTTAAAGGACGACGCTTGGTCGAATGGCATACAATATTAATTTTTTTATCTTTAAGTCACAATTTTATTTGTTAAACGATACATACAAAGTTAAATTATTAAAAGTAGAAAGTGAGCTTGGGTTAAACTGACAGAAGTACAGTAGAATTTTTTTATTGGCCCAAATTGGAAATAAAGAATTTTTATAGGCCATAAATAACCCAACCCAATTGGTCTAAATCGTTTCAAATGTTTATATATAATCAATCACAGTAACGATTGTTAAAAACAATAAAGTTTAAATTATAGACCCATTGAAAATAAACATAAACAATTGTGGAAATTAGCGATATATGTTTTAAATTTAAATTTGTAATACGGTTTTTGAAAATAGCGGTGTATTTCCAGTCTAGTACACTGAAAGAAATTTATGTTTCATATATGGACTACCACATACATTGCTAAAACAAACATATAATATATTTACCTTAACCATTTTTATATTTAGTTTTAACATATTATGTTAAAACTAAATATAATATATGTTTGTTTTAGCAATGTATGTGGTAGTCCATATATGAACCACAAACATTGCTAAAACAAACATATATTTCTTTCAGTGTACGCTTTCCATTATTATGTATAAAAAATTGAAATAAAATGAATACCGCCATCTAATAAATTTAGTATTTATCTCAATTATCGAAGCTCGTCGAGATCCAAAAGGAAGTCAATTACAATAATGAGGGCGAAAAACAAACAAAACTGTCACCGTTTAATGGTTTTTCAAACATATCTCTCAAATCCATTAAAGGATTCCTTACTTTAAATGCACCGTCCTTATTTTTATATCGTTTAGAATTGATGAATTTTATGGCGATAAACATGTTTATTTTAAAAACAACTCTTATGATTGCACTTAAAAATGATCCGTCCTCATCCTGGTCGCGACCTTAATCGTCTTCAAAATTCCGCAGCAGTATCGTAAACTTAATGTATGCTAATGGACAGAATATCCCATTTAAAAGTTGAAATCGCTACTTTGATAACAAGCTTTTAAGGGAATTGGATGCAATAATCATTTGTAATATCTTTATTTCGCCTTAATCTTCATGGCTTTTGTATTTGCAACAACTTTTACAATCCCCGTGGTGGCCGAAGAAATCAAAGATTAACTTAGCTGTACCTTAGCTTTCCAACAGCAACTTGTAATCATCAAATTTTCAATGCCTTTCTATTTTGCAATTACTTCCTTTCTTTGGTGGTCGAAGCCAAGAAACCAAAAACATAAAACACTCTATTAGTGTTACCGCTAAATATGTTTATTCTTGTATTACAATAAGGTAAAATTACGCTGAGAAGCACAGTTGTACTGCAGTCACATGCAAAGAAGTAATTGTTAAGTGCGGCAATCTAGTAATTTATAAAATTTTTCCTGACTACATGACATTTTAAATAAGTATGGATACAACAACTTATTTATCTGGGTGTCTTACAGTCTTCCAATGTAGTTCATTAAATTGTTATGGCTGTATTTACAGTAAATTTGCAAAATCAATTTATCGTATGCAAATATTTAATACGATAAGAGTTTGAGACTGTATGTAAATATGATTTTTTTTATGCAATACAGTTGATTATTTAGTCGCCGATTTATAATAAGTTTTAAATCCCAAGCATTTAAAGAAGAAACAAATTTGTTAAATATTTTCCCTATAAGGCATCAATTTAATAGAATGTATAATTAAGATTATTTTATCTGATGGATGAAAACCTCAAATCATTTTAAAGTCTTTAAATAATATTTGATATGATATAAATACAAAAGAATTTATCACAGCAAGGTCACAAGTCCACTGAATAGCCCAACAAAAGAAAGAAAAATTAAAATTGAACAGTGACTTGCAGACCATCTTTAATTAGTTTCTTTGTCGTAATATAAATTAACCGAACAATAAGGCTATACCTACCGATCATATCTTACACCACGACCTATTAAAAGTGCGATGTAATTATCTTAGCGTGGTCAAGAGAAAGATGGCAAGCCATCTTTGATATATAAGTTATGGCCTCCTATTCAGCTCTGATTGCCCTCTTATTAATAATAACTCTTTTATTCCTTCAGCAATAATGATAAGCCACCATATAATAGCCATATGCTGCGACCAACATATGGTAAAGTTAAAAGCTTTTAATTACTGGAGAATGCTTGCCATTTTTCTTTACAACATATTTTTGTATGAAACCTCCTCTCTTTATATTCTTAAAAAGCTTTTAAAGAGGAATACAGAGATGATATGGTATCTTTATGCACTTTATGAACACAATCTTAATCTCATCTAAAAAAAAAAATGAATATTATATTGTATAAAATTCTGATGAAAAAGAAATACTTATACCTGCTTAAGCTCTTTATTTCTATGATCCGTGAAAATGTAAAATTACCTGCCCACTTGAAAAAAAGTCAAGGAAACATAGCACACCGAATAGCTATTAGCAAAACAACCTACAGTTTAGACTAATGTTAATATGTTCACATTAAAAAATTACTATCGGTGACGTATTAATGCAAGCCACTATAAATGGCTACAAGTATGACCGTTAATAACATATTTGTTTTCTTTAGTTTGAAGAGTGGGTTGTTATGTGTGGGCACCACTCTCAATATGGTCTTTTACTCCTCTAGAGAAGACCTCTTGAAAGGAGTATTTAAATTTTGATTTAAATAGGTGCAGAATAGAAATCCGTCGTGAGATCAAATTTATCGCGGAAATCTGTTGACAACAAAAGATCCAGAACGCTTCTAGGTCAGTACCCTTGGCAGAAGAAAGCAACTGCAAATTCTAGTAAAAATCCAGCTCGGTCGTCAAGTTGAAGATTGAGAGTGATGTAGCTTACCATGTAAAGGCAAGTTGGCTTTGGTGAGGTATGTTTACGGCGCCATAGCAACTTTGATAACGGGACACGCTGTACTCTCGGAACTGCCTCAACCCGCCATGTTAATTCAAGGACATTCTTGGAGAAGATAAAATTCAAATTTCTGCAAAAGCTGATGTTTAATATTTAAAACGATGAAATTAAATTTTATTCAAAAGAAGATTTTCTTATGGAAATAGTATAGATGCTAATAGCATAGATCTAAACAATGTTTACCGTGAAAGTTAAATAAAATCACATACCAAAAATTATATTTGCATCTTAGCAATTGCAAATTCAAAATATTTACAAAAAAGCAAATTTTATTTTACAGCGGCTTTAAAATAAACTGTGTAAGGGCGCCATGGGGGTTGTAAAGTACCTGGAATGCAGGTAAATCAAGTCTATGTCCCTAGGTCTGTTCTTGGTATACAATTGACTTTTCTTTAAGTAACAAAAGCCCTGGTATTTTATTGTTCCTTTCGCAACTTGACTTCGAAATTCGAATGCCTTAAATTTTTAATTTTAAAAATTTCTTACAATTTTTATGCCTGATGAAGATCAAAATTGTTCAATTGTTTAATACCTAGATTGAATGCGCCCCTGTTATTATTTAAGAAGGATAACTATCGGCGCAGCAAAAAAGCAACAAGTTGTCTACACGTACGAGGATATTTAATTTCGTATTTTTTGCGTGTCTATATAACTTATCTTCAGATGCTTAAGTTAAGGTTAAGTGGAGCACCTAGCGGCAATCTTAACCACAGGTATCTTGATCTTTCAAGTTTTACTTTCGCGCTGAACGTCCATTTATATTAATACCAAAAGAACAAGTGGTTTTCTTTGTTCGGAATATTTTATCGCTTCGCTGTTCAATTAATAATACACACATTAAATGTATGCTGTAATTATGGAATATTTTAATAAGTTATATTCATCACATTTTACTATTAAATATCCTTATATAATGAATTTAAATGTTCGTGATATGTGGAATTATAAAACCGTAAAAATATATGTTTTATAGGGACCATAAACATAAAAATACAGTGATTTTTAAGAAATCAAGCAGAGCCATTAAATAATACAACATTCTAAGTAATTAAAAACTAAGCTTGAAACTTACAAACATTAAACAATGTCACTTGATCCAGCAGTAATATTCTTAACTCATGTGTTGTAAAAAATAATTTTGAATCGCTGTTGTGGCTACTCTAGGCTGGAATGTAACAAATATTTAAATTTTGTCACGGATTACGTGTAACGTGTATTAACAACCAGTTCGCCCACGAATTTAGAACCATTATTTCTATGGGATGGAACATATAAACATAATTGTTATGCCTGCACTGTTCTAAACTTATTTTTGACACGACATGAGGCTTGTGTAACATTTAAATTAATTTATTAAAAACATTAAATTATAACCTAACAGTATATATTTTATATTATTAATTTAAATAATTTGTCCTTGGACTAAGAGTTTTTTTTTAATCTTTTATGTTCAACAAATGTTTTAAAATAGTGCGATTCTAAGTTATTGTTTTAATTTAAATGATAATTGAATTGAAGTTAATTTTTTGTCGTCGATTCAGATGGTATCTGCAATTTTGTTGCCTGGTGCGCCACATCTGTAACTATTTATGTCCATTCATCAGAAATACGCACTAATTAATGTAAAAGTCTCGATCACTGAATCGTATTATCATTAAATTTAAAACTGATTTCAACGTTTTTGTTTCAGTCTGTATTGGAACGAATGGCCGTATGTCAGTACCCTCGAACCGTGAACATCACTACAGGAATTTGAAGGACCGCTACACGAACTGTACATACGTCGACGGCAACCTCGAGCTAACGTGGCTGCAGGATGAAAATTTGGATCTCAGCTTCCTGCACTCCATCCGGGAAGTTACCGGCTACGTACTGATTTCGCATGTGGATATTAAACGAATCGTACTGCCTCGTTTACAAATCATCCGTGGACGCACTCTGTTTAGAATGAACATACGCGAAGAAGAGTTCTCTCTAATTATATCCCTTTCTAAAATGTACACAATCGAGCTTCCATCTCTTCGCGACATTTTAAATGGCAACGTAGGCGTGTTTAATAACTACAACCTTTGCCACATTAAAACGATTAACTGGAATGAAATTATATCCGACAATAACGCCTCATACATTTATCAGTACACGTTCTCATCACCCGAAAGAACCTGTCCGAGATGCCATGAAAGTTGTGAACACGGTTGTTGGGGTGAAGGCGAGAAAAACTGTCAGCAATTCTCTAAAATAACTTGCAGCCCGCAGTGCTACAAAGGAAGATGCTACGGATCGAACCCGAGAGAGTGCTGCCATCTGTTTTGCGCAGGAGGCTGCACCGGACCAAAACAAAGCGACTGCATTGCCTGCAAGAACTTTTATGATGATGGCGTGTGTACGCAAGAATGTCCGCCGATGCAAATCTACAATCCCACTACTTACTCTTGGGAACCGAATCCGAAAGGAAAATACGCCTATGGAGCCACATGTGTGAAAAAGTGCCCCGAACATTTGTTAAAAGACAGTGGTGCGTGTGTAAGAAATTGCCCTCCTAATAAAAAAGCGGAGAACGGCGAGTGCATACCCTGCGACGGGCCTTGTCCTAAGACCTGCCCTGGTGATGTGGTGGTACATTCTGGAAATATCGATAAATTTAAAGGTTGTACCATCATCGAAGGCTACCTTAATATTCTCGACAACAGTTTTAAAGGGTACCAAGCAATTTATCCGAACTTTACTTTTGGCGAACGATACGAAAAGATGCATCCCGATCGATTAGAAGTGTTCAGTACACTCGTAGAAATTACCGGCTACCTGGACATCGAAGCCTACGATAAAGACTTCAAAAACCTTTCGTACTTCAGAAACTTGGAGGTTATCGGTGGGCGTAGCCTTTTCGAATACCAATCATCGCTTTACATAGTCAAAACATCATTGGAATCGTTAGAGTTAAAATCCTTAAAGAAAATTAACATGGGCAACATTTGTATCCTCGAAAACAAACATCTTTGCTTTGCCGAAAATATCAAGTGGGAAAAAATTAAGAAGTTGGAAAATGGACTTGTGTTGGCAAATAATAGTAATTCAAAAGTTTGCAAACAAAAAGGACTTGTATGTGATGAACAGTGTAGTGAAGATGGATGTTGGGGACCCGGACCGGATCAGTGCCTTTCCTGCGCTCATTTCAAACTTGCGAACAAATGTATCCAGAATTGTACATCTATAACCTGGGTAAGTAAACTTTATTCATTTTAAAAATACATAAATTATATTTGCAACAAGATCATAATAATTTCTCAGAAACCTTTGTTATGCAAACATTTAATATTAATATTTGATTTACAGAATATACCGTGCTGATAACAAACACTGCAAACCTTGTCATGAACAATGCGGTTCTTCATGCTCCGGTCCTGGACCAGAAAAATGCGACACATGCAAAAGCTTTAAGGATGGTCCGTACTGCGTGGAACATTGCCCAACAAATAAATTCGACAATAACAAGCAATGCGAACAATGTCCATCTATTTGTGTTGATGGTTGTACAGGTTCAAAACCAACTGTTGGACCCGGTGGATGCAAATCTTGCGATCTGGCGATTATGAATCTAAATGGATCTGTGGATATTTGTTTATTTAAATAGGAAGACCCTTGTCCTGATGGTTACTATAAGGAATTGGTTTCATCTCAAACTCAGGAATCACTCATTCCACTGATGGGCAAGAACATTTGCAGAAAATGTCATCCAAGGTAAATATTAATATAATCAAGAAGCAACATTAAAGTTTATTCATGATAATAGTTAAAATAACTATACAATTAGCCATTAAAATATTTAACTAATATTTGGTTTATTTTTAGATGTAAAAAATGTACTAGTTATGGTTTCCATACGTCTATTTGCCAGCAATGTACCCACTACAAAAAGGGAGAACAATGTGAGGACGAGTGTACCTTAGATTTTTACCCGGATGAGAAGTTACAAGAATGCAAATCTTGCGATGTCGAATGCAGAGGTTGTTCTGGACCTGGACCAGAAAATTGTATCTCTTGCCAAAATATGAAGTTGTATACCAATGATGCATTAGATATAAATGGTACATTCACATGTATTTCGACGTGCCCACCAGAATTTCCACACCGTCATTTTCCTGAAAATTCCGAACCGTTCTGCTCGGAAATGAAGATTACTCCGTCTCCTGTGATTTCTAAGCACAAGGGAATTTCTGATTACAGTTATAGCAATTGGATTCTTTGTAACAATTATTGTTATACTTGTTTTTGTATACTACTCCTACAAAAAACAAAAGGAAAAGGAAAGCACCATAAAAATGACTATGGCGTTAACTGGATTAGATGATAACGAGCCACTTAGACCAAGCAACGTTATGCCCAATGTTGCTAAATTAAGAATTATTAAAGATACGGAAATCCGCAAAGGAAGCATTTTGGGATATGGTGCTTTTGGAACTGTATATAAAGGAGTTTGGATTTTAGAAGCGGAAAACTCAGCCAAAATTCCAGTTGCTATTAAGGTACTGAGAGAAGATACCGGAGCCAATACAAGCAAAGAGTTTCTTGGCGAAGCCTATATTATGGCTAGTGTAGATCATCCTAACTTATTGCAACTTCTTGCCGTGTGCATGACTTCCCAAATGATGTTGGTAACTCAATTGATGCCTTTGGGATGTCTTTTGGACTTTGTCAGGAAAAATAGGGATAAAATCGGTTCCAAAGCTTTACTGAACTGGTCCACGCAAATTGCCAGAGGTATGGCCTATTTGGAAGAAAAACGACTCGTGCACAGAGACTTGGCCGCAAGAAACGTTTTAGTGCAATCACCAGCTTGTGTCAAAATTACAGATTTTGGACTAGCAAAACTTTTAGATATTAACGAAGAAGAGTACAAAGCTGCTGGAGGCAAAATGCCCATCAAATGGCTTGCGCTGGAGTGCATCCAACACAGAATATTTACGCACAAATCTGATGTATGGGCATTTGGCGTCACTGTTTGGGAGTTGCTGACTTTCGGCGGTCGACCATACGAAAATGTTCCTGCTAGAGATGTACCTGAATTACTCGAAAAGGGAGAACGTTTACCTCAACCGACAGTCGCTAGCATTGATGTCTACATGATAATGATCAAATGTTGGATGTTGGACGCCGAAAGCAGACCATGCTTCAAAGAGCTGGAGGACGACTTTTCAAAGATGTCCAGAGATCCTGGCAGATATTTGGCCATACCTGGAGATAAATTAATGAGGCTACAACACTTTACCGTACCGGTTAGTATTATTATTTATGCTTCATATTAATGCCTTTTAAATTTTTTGTATACAATAAATCTAATTATTATTTATTATTTTCAGAACGACAGAGAGGTTATGCGAAATTTAGCCTCCAATTTGGCATCAGAGACGTCAGAGTCACCTTCAGAAGGCGACGAATATATGCAGCCCAAGTCTAGAGTACCAATTCACGAATCAGGATTATCCACAACGTCTTCCTTAACACTTAACCCAATGGCTGATAAATATTGGCCATCGGTATCGCACGTAACTTCCGACGGTAGTGCATCGCAGTATCAGAATCACTTAAATAACAAACTATTAAGATACGCGCAAGCTCAAGGATACGATCCTAGGTCTCAATCGGACACTTCAAGTATAAAATATTGTGGTGATTCTTTAAAATTGCGTAACGAGATCGGAGGTTCAGACGAATATGATTCTGGTCGTTCTCAAGCCCAAGTGGGCACGCTAAAACTGGAGTTGCCGGTCGACGAAGACGATTACCTTATGCCCTCTCCGCAACAAGCCCAAGGTACTTCTACTTACGTTGATCTGATCGACTCCAACAATCCCAATGGAGTACACGGGAACATATTGTTGCAGTGCCCCGAAGGGGCGACTGAATATTACAAAAACAACATCGACAATCCTGAATATCTTATGAACGACACGCCAAATCAAACTGTGGGTCTTCCAACTATTTCAGAGTATATCATAGCTTCAAAAAAGCATCCCCCGAGGAGTTCCGAGGAGGAATCTGATCATGAGTACTACAATGATTTTGATAGACTGCGCAGAGAATTACAGCCCTTACAAAGAAATACAAGTAAAGAAGGAGCAATCGTTTAATACTTTTAAATAGTTTATTATTAAAATCATTTAATATCTCAGTAAAGTACTGTGATTTACTTAACGAACATTTTCTGTAGCCCTGAAAAGTTTAATAACCGCTCTAGCTTAAAAATATAGGACTGACTATATAATCCTATGTACAAATGTTATAATGGCCTGTGTACTTTCGATGTAGAGGCAAGGCTGTGGCAGTTATTCGTTTGTTATGCTACTTAATTAGTATAAGTTTTACTATTAGCATGTCAAAACTATGACAATAACTAAGTGCCATTTTAAAAGCATGGCATAACTTGAAAATTTTATATCTTGTAAATATTATAATTATATTTAGTTATAACAAATTGGGTAAGCAACCGACGGGAGATAATGCCAATCCTAGATGTAATCTTGCCCATTCTATCTGTGATAAATTAATGTACATACATAAATATTGTATTTTACGAAGGAAGTTTTATATTGTATTATAGCCGGTAATCTCAGAGAAATAAATCTCATTTGTATGCAATTTTTATTTATATTGTTGAATTGTAAAAACTCTGTCAATTATGAATCTATTGTATCATTAACGCACTAAACTTGTGCCATTTTGTTGTAAAGTGCCTTGTAATCAACACCATCAAGATTTATAAATATTTAATAAAACTTTAATAAAAATAAATTTACGATATTTTTGTAATCCTTTAACACCTAAGTATAAACAATATATCATATAAGATGGGAAACAATGAACTTAGGTAAAGTATTCCTTAAAAATAAAACTACTTTTAAAAAATTACATATACTTTATTATTTTTAAAAATGATTTATTTTGTAAAAAAATAATAATATTATTTTTAAATAACATTTAAATTAATATAACATATAAATACTTTGGAGATTTTTATTAAAAAAATTTTTATTTAATTTACTTTTAGTAATAGTCACGCTTTTTTGAATTTTTTAACTTTAAAATGGTCCCAAATAGGCGGTAACCTGAAAACTAACCGCCGTTACTACCACCAATAAATTAAAAAAAAACAGAGTTTTATTGAATAAAAATTCTTCATTTTAAAAGCGGATTCGTATACCCTCAATATTTTAATCAAATACCCTGCTTTTTAATATAATATATTATGGTTAAAATAAAAAAAATCCATATAGGACCTGGGTACCTACTAATGGATAATTATATAATTATGTATGCTGCATTATATTCTCCCTATAACGGCACGGTATACATCAGTAAATGTATGTATGCAACCCGGATATCAAGTCTAGAAAATCATATTGTGTCCTAAATAAAATCATTAATTTAAGTATTGTTACGAAATTTTAATTTAAAATAAATTTGTAATATTTACCTATTTATCCTACTATCTCCAAAGTATACATAAATATTATTTTTACTACCTATATTAAAAAACTAATTCTCTATAAACGATTTGTGACTAGTTCAAAGTCAGTGCGATTAACATTTATTTAACATATAACATATAAATAGACACTTTTGACAATAAATTAAGTAAATTACTTATTAGAGGTTTTTAGAAACATACACAATCACTTTTAACTCTGTTATTAGTTTTCTAAAACGCCTAGGTATTGTTTAAATTAAGTCCGTTTAACAATGTATAAACAAATATAAAGTTGTGAATTAATTAATTAATTAATTAACCAGTGCTACTTTATGTTGCAAATAAATCTTATTAATAATATTATTGACTGCATCTATGACTTAATTTTAAAAATCGTTATTATTTAATTCACTCCCCTGGTGAAACTGCAAAGAGAGCTTATCTTCTTTTTTATTCTTGGGGATCTCCACTTACTGATATTTCCTTGTGAATTAAACTTACTTGGAGATATACCCTCATCGACATCGTCGGCTTCAGTTTTTATTTCCATTTTCTAAAAAAAATAAGTTAATGATTGATCGGTTTTATTTATTGGGAACAAGAAAAAAATGCATTGGACGGAAAAAGCAACGATGTTTAATAAATGCAATTATATCAAAATAGTTTCCATATATCTTTTGTATTTTTTAAAAGGATAACACTACCTATTACGGAAAATCATTACATAATTACGAAAAAATGATTGGAGATCAAAATTTGTTGCCGAGAAGTGAAGCTTTCTGAGATGATTGAATAATTTAAGAAATTAAAAGGCTGTTATCAAACATAAAAAACAACATTTTATACAACAAATTTATACCAGCCTTTTTTAATTAAAAATACTTTTGTTGTTAGGCTCTTTACCTGAACTAGTAGACGCAAAAACTGCTGTTGTGTCTCCAATATTGTAGATATATCGCGTAGCTTTCTTTTAGTTTTTTCAATTTCGCCAATTATAATATCTTCCCCACTTTCAATGCCCATATCAAGACCTTTAAAAACAAAGACATTTAATATATTTCGAAATATTGCAAATAAGCACAGTTTACTTCGGCACATATTAACAAACACATTTTACCATGATTTTTCCCTATGGTACTTAGGTAAACTTGACTATAACATCCTTTTCCTGCAATAAAAACATGCTGCAAAGCCAACTATTGCTACTTTAAACTATAATGTGCATTAACTACTTATGCATTCTAATTTGTAATTGTAATAAGATACCTTCTTCGGAAAAAGGATTTCCAAACCATTTCCTTAAAATGGAATCCAGAAATCCTAGCTCACGTACATCATTAGGGTACTCGATAAGCTCACTTTTGTCGACTTTTTCCAACAGCATTTGAGGAAGCTTTCTTTCCAATTCAGTATGTAAAACAACCTTAAGAAAAATATAAAAATATTTTGTATTTTAACTTAATAATAGTAAATTTACCTGCATCGCCAACCTTTTTAATTGAGCATTTCTCCTAACTGATTCGATATCTCCAACAGCCAAACCAATAAGAAGGTTCATTAATAAGATGGGCATTAATACCATAAAAAGACCAAGAATAAAGAATGCTGGTAAAGGAAATGGCAGAAAGGATCTTTCGGTATCCGTATCCAAGTAAAACGGTTTTACGTATGTTCCCAAAAAGTCAATTTCTCCAAGCATCATTGAGAACGTCCGGATTAAAGACATCGGTATTGTTTTAAAGGATAGATGATCTCCCTATAAATATTTAGAAAACGTTTTATTGTAAAGGGTGTCCAAATAAGAAAAAAAAAAGAATTTAATTAAAAAAACTATTAAGATTTTAAGTACATTTTTGTATTTTAAACTGAGCATGGTGACCATCTTCTTTGCAATTTTGCACATTACACAGGTTTACAAATTATTAAAAAAATTTACATACCACTATTCTTTACTAATGTATTTTGGCCTGCTAAACTCGAAAATCACTATAACATTTTTTTATGGCAAGGTTTTCGAGACATGATTTTTTTATTATTAAACATAATCGAATCGCCGATAAATATCACTTTCTTAATGCTCAATCAGTTGACTAGTTTTAGTGCAATGGGCTGAATGGACAAAAATAAGAATTCAAAATTTACATTTTGTCAAAGAATCAACAAAAATCATTGAAATATTACCATATCCGAATTTTTAACATAGTTTGTACTTTTACGAAAAAAATAAGGTAATTACCAAAAACCTCTTTGGATAAATGTCACCGTTTATGAACACGTACAAAATTTAATTTTTTGTTTATTTTAGGACTTGTGCCTTATTAGTAGCTTATATTGTAGTAACATGCAATTAATTTTCAATACATTTTAAGGAGAATATTTTTTGTTTTACTTATTAATTAATTGCCTACTGAAGTTTTTTTGTATAAATTTTGAATTTCACAGTGATGGACTATTTTCTTAGGTTGGCAATACTGTTTATACACTGGCGAGCAAACAAATTATTTTAATTTATTTAATAAAAATGTGATATATTTTAAGATTTTATTTTCCAATTGTAAATTTTCGCAATGTATTTTGTAAGCTTACTTTAATATTGAATATTTATTCAAAACACCTCCTTTTGGCTTTATGATTAATTCTGGAAAAAAATAAAATTTACAGTTCATACGTACGTACATAAGTTAGACTTATTGTTATTTAGAACTAAAGCAACAAGTAAAACCTAACATTAAAGACTAAAATTAATTATTAATAACGTTTATTCTCTCTTCTTGCGTTAATCACTGCTTGTAGTCGATGAGGCATACTTTAAATTAAATTAAGAATCACATTTTGGTCGATATTATTCCACTTCTTCAATAGCAACTCTTTCAACTACTGGACAGTTCTTGGAGCTTCAGGTCTGTACTGAGTTCTGGTCAATCAAAACGCTTAATTCTTACCTGAACCAGATAATCACTTACAACTCTGGCTGCATGGGGTCTAGCATTATCTTGCATGAAAATACCATGCTAGCCCATAGTGATCATGAAATTTATTAAATAATCTTCCAGAATTTCTGTAATGTACCTGTGAGCTGTCATGGACTCATTCTGTATGAAGACCAACTCTGTGCGTGTTTGAGAAATTATTCTCGTCTATACAAACTGTTGCATATCTTTCTTCAGGTCTTCTCCATACATGCCGACGTCCGTCTGACCCATTGAGGCAAAAACGCGACTCTTCCAGAAACAGTACCTTGCTCCAGTCATCATTATTCCATGCCAAGATTTTGGGCAAAAGTGAATCTTGCAATTTAATGTCGGCGCTGCAATGTTGGCCCTGTAGCCATCCTTCTACAAGACAATTTATTAGCACTAAGCCTTCTCCTAACGGTCCATTCGCTAACATTAACATTAATAACATCTTGAAGTTTATTTCGCAGAAAAACAGCAGAAGCTGTTCTATTCCGCATTCTTGCGGACACCAAAAACCGATCATCACTCTGGTTGATAAATCTTTTTCGCAAGGATCCTGGTACTCTGGTTATTAGTCCAGTCTTCTGGTATCGTTGGTAACATTTTGTACAGCACAGGCTCTTACCAACAATTCTTGCAGTTTCACGTTGTCCTCGACCATCTTGTATTAGTGCTACAATTCTTTCAACAACAATAGGATCTAAAGGATTAATGACCTATTAAATATACACCACAACCGTTAGGTTTTGGAGAAATAAATCAACACTAAACTGAGAAATAGGCAACGAAATATGAATATTTAATTATACCGAATTCACGCCATTTTACAAAAGTCGTATGTACGATGACAATAAGGGACAGATAACCATTTTTTGGAAAATAAATGATTCACAGCCTACTAGACCAATGGATCCCCGAATAATTTTATTTATAAAATTATTTGCATTTTTTAATTAACCTAAATTTTTTGCTCGCCAGTGTATTATTGCCTTGTGTCAGATAACTCAGTAGGTGAAAAATTAACACTTATCCAGATTTGGTTTATTTTTATTGTAGTATTTTTATGATGGCAGTTTATTAGAAATAGTTTTTTTTATAGTCTTGTGGTTTTTTTTCGGTATCTAATTTTCTTATGGGGAACCAAATATAATTTACCACCATTACCATCATCTAAAAATCTCTGATAGCGGGGATTCATGGACTTCATTTCTTGATGAAATCTTCCACCATGTCGTTACTTTGGTTACTGTGATTTTTCAACAACAAAAAAATTAACTACAATGAATGGATTCTTAGGGATATATTTACGCTAGTAGATTAAAGTAATATACGGTATGTGACCAAAAATGTAATGTAAAAGAATAACAAATTTTTGCATAATTCTTTAGCCAATCTTTGACGATTATTAAATCCAAAGATGTAAAGATAAGTGTTAATAAGTTAAAAAAAACATAGGAACATCTTCATTTTTCATCTACTGTTTTTTCACCCAATCAGCCAATTGGCATATTAACCGCCAAAATCAAAATTTGAAGAACAAAATCTAATTAATTAATTATATCAACGACAAACATTTTTTTTCGAATTGAATTGTAAATTCATTGAAAATATGTATACCCTATAAATAACGTAAAAGTCCAAAAATAAATAAAAAGTTGAATTTTATTTATTATTTTTGTCGAAAAGGTAAATGTTGCATTCTTATTTTTGTCAAAAAAAAACAACTATTCGAGCCCATTGCACTTAAACTACTCAACTGATTTGGCATTAAGGTAGTGAGTATTGGTCGGCGATTCGATTATGTTTAGTTTAAAACCTTTTGAAACCAGGTTGGCCGTTTCTAACTTGAGATATACCAAATTGTAAAGCTTTATCAATCAAATAAATAAAAATTTGGAAACCTTAATTTTTAAGTATTGGAGGCAAAAATACATTTAAAAAATCATGGCACCGAATTTTGGCTGTAAACCAGTGTAATTGGTCATAACTTACCAAACTATCATGAAGAGTTTTTTTATCAAAATGGTTATTCAATCCGCTACACCAACCACGGTTTGTAATCATATCTTATAATTATAATCGATTTATCCCCGTCTGTTAAATTAATGGACTTTATATAATATATTATAAAGTCTATTCATTTAACAGACGGTTGCCATAGGAACTATAATAAGGCAGAACAGAAGAAGTCTAACGTAACATTTAATTTCGTCTTTTAAAGGTTGAAGGCACTTTTTTTTGCTAATCCTACAATTTTTTTATTTGACTTACCCTTGATAGTAAAATATAGAAGGCCAAACCAAAGGCTATAATCAATATTGAAAACACCATTAGTACTTTTATGAGGGTTTGCAGAATTTCCAAAAACATAACAACGTAAATTCCAACTTGATCGAATCTTTGCAGTAGCAATAGCAAATTAAACCAACTTAAAAATACTGTTAATGATGCGCATGAAAACTGTATATCGTACATCTGATTTCCAAATATTGGAATCACCATAACGATAGCCGAAGAATATAGAAGCCATGTAACCAGATTTATTGGATCCATGAAATACATATATTTTTGTTGGTAAAGTTGTATTACTTCTCTTATTGTGTTTATGCCAATATAAGATATTATAGCTAATGCGCTAATGTACATAATTGGCGATACTTTAACGTCCAAAATGTTTTGTTTGCTGATCCTTAAATATTCCTAAAAATAAATTATGTTCACTAAAAACAAACATAATTATTTGTAAATAATTACAGTATGGTTTAAGTGTGTAACGTTTAATGTATCTGCATGCCACATTAGTTGAGACGAAAAACAAGTAATGAAAGCCAAATAAATGCTATAAAATAAAACATTCGCCAAATGAAAGTATTTTCCATAGGAGTTCCACTTCATTTGCAAATACTTTTGACTTAAAGGATGTGCTAACAATTCCACCCTACCGTGAAGCACCATGGACTAAAATAAAATAAATTAATTAATATTTATTAGATTCATGTCAAATGGAAACGTTACATTAAGAGCTGGCAACGGATTTCTTTTGGATATGGATATGGTTTCTGCTTCTTTTACATCCATATCGTCACATTTTTGTGAACACTGTAAAGAGCTGAAGTTATACTTTACCTAAAAACCAAAAAAAGGTTTTAATAGATGTCCCCAAGGCAACTAAATTAGTTTTCATAATAATTATGTCATAAGGCCAAGAAGTGAGTATTTTGGTGTTGAGTTCAAAGTTTAAATTAAAGACATATTAAAAACGACCAAGTCCAAAAACAGCTTTGTGATAAGATGTTATGTTTTTTAAAGAATATTGTGCTGTTTTTTTAAAACCTGTGATATTTTGATATTATGTTCCGTAATTTACTGCCAGTACTCTCAGTTATTTTACTGCCAGTAGTGAAAAAGAACTGTTTTAAAATTTATTCACTTCTGATACAAAAGTAAAATTGGATCGCATCTCCCTAGCAGCAGAAAGTAACAATGGCTACGCAAGCGCATTCTCTGCATTTGACTAACCTTACTTAAGCCAGCAGCACTGCTGCAGGGAAAATATGAAAAATAAAATTGTATCTACTCCTATTGCATAATATTGAGTTTTTTTTCGTGAATAATGATAATAAATTCCCTGCCTATCAATGTGAATAATGAACTCATTATTCACGTTGTTAGGTATCAGTGATTGGTCAATTTCAATATTCACTGTGATTTAAACCAATAGGGTTTTAAATTGGGAAAAGGCGACTATAATAACATTTAAAATTGGTAAAATTAACCATTTGACAAATTTCAGATTATATTTTATTAATTTTAAAAATTATTTAATAATCTAATCTACTTATTGGAGTAGTTAAAGTATAGTATTATACTCGAGATTATGCGCTTTATTCACTCGGATGATTTAAGTGACATTAAATTAATTCTCTCGTCTGGCGTCTCGAGACGCAAACCTCATCCTCGTAAATAATATAATAATATACTATTATATACCTTTTTCGACGCGGACGACAATAATGGGAAATATTTTGATTAATATCTTAACAATATTTAATTAAATAATTAGTCTCAGCTTTTTACCAAATATTTACAAACCTATTCATCACTTTATTTGGCAGCTATTTTTGCTGTTTAAAAGTTTGGTTATATTTTTTACTGGAGCCACAGCACCTCTCTGTCACCAGTTATTTAATTAAAATGATATCTGCCGTACATTTACAAAGGTAGTATTTACTACTAAGCTGAGTAACTAAAAGTAGATTTCGAAATACCTTTTTAGTATTGACAGTACTGGCAGTAAATTACGTCTATATGTCACTTTTAAAATAAACGGAAATTTATATCGATAGATTCGGCTTCTAACCACTAGCTAATTTTTTGAATTTTTGGATATGTGTGGTTTTTGAGAGGTCTTCAATTGACAAAAGCACAAAAAGACCTTCTTGGCCGAATGACACAACATTTTATCTTCAATCGGTCTATAAATTAAGGAACAATTTTATTTGATAAATGTAATGTACCTACTGTATTATTAAGAATACAAAGTGAGGTTAGATAGATCTGACGATATTCAATTTTAAACAAGGTAAATAATGAATCATAAATCATAAAGTTGTTTGAAAATACCCGATTGGTCCAATAGTATTTGCTATTATGTATTATGTAACAAATTTTATAAACGACATTTAAGTTTCAAGTTTAATTATTCAACAGCATAGCTTGCGAAGTAGATACATTATTTTTATGTGCATAGTTCACAATCAATCACTTTATAGTTAGATTTATAGACCGATTGAAGATATATATTGTATTCGTAAGTTGTATCTCCTTAAGACATACTTAACCCTAGATTGTTAACAAACGTAATATTTACGTGTTGGTTTTGTTTAAGCGATTAAAACTTTGTTACTAGTCCATGGGATCGCATCGGCTGCTAGCAGTGCTTCTCCCCGTTCTAGTATAAGCCATTAGGCATTTTATTTCATCACTCGTTTGTAACTGAGTAAACAGTGACCTTAAGGGCCTCCACAGACTTTTATGTAACGTTGTCATTAACGTTGGCAATTTAGAGTTAATGATGATGTTACAAAACTTAACTTACATAAAATAGTTTGGAATCCTTTTTGCAGTTTGCTTTGGTAATACATTTATCCTGTACCGATTCAAAAACTCTGGGCATTGAAGCAATAAGTGCGCAGGTTACACAAGGATGTTTAGTTGATTTCAGTGACATAATTTCGAAGGCTCTAAAATAAAATGGATGTTAATAAAACTATTATGTGGGCGAGAGGCTTTGCGATGTGAGGTATGTTATATTATTATATGTGATCTAAGCATCAAAAAATCGATTTCTGGATTATGATTGTTATAGAATAATTAAATACTGCTCTTTAATTATTTGAGGTCAAAAGTAATATTCTTTGAATATTTTGCATGTAACAACTCGTTTGTATATTTGTCTATAGATATAGCGCCTGTTCTTTTCTTTCTACTGTAAAATTAGCGCTGGGACGATTGGGTTCCTTTTTTGGAGCGCATCACATGTTTTACAAAAAAATATAAGTTTAACAGAAATACAAGTTTTTTGTACTATTTTTCAAACGAATCACCCAAAAACTAAATATTAAATAAGATGCACATTTAATATGAAGTTTTTTTATTTCTTAATTTAATCATTCCTTAATTCATATCTTTTTGCATGCTTAGGATTACAGTAAAGTAATTTTATTGTCGGAAAATGTTACATTATGAGTAAATGTAACCAATACTTGGCTGGTTTCCATGACTTTTGTTTGCGGTTCCAAGAATAGGGTTTTAAAAACAAATATTTTCTACACAGGGACTTTATTGTTCAAGTGTGAATTACATAAAGACAATCTTATTATGTTTTACATTTGTTTTATTATCTTTAATGCTTAGCCTGCATATTCTCAGGTTACACCGAGATGGGACGTTCATAACTCCTTCGGCCTCACTTGAGAACTATGGGGTTGATACCAGAGTTCGATAATTCTACATCTGTGGTTGGTCGACTTCCTTGGATTGTTGACGATGATCCTCTGAGTAGAATACCCTTTTTTTTAATATAAATATAAGCAAAAATGCAAAAAATAGCGATTAGGACATGTAATAAAACCGTATATGCACTAACTCTATGGAAATGAATTGGAGCGTTATCTAAATCACTAATTTGAAGTCTTTGTTTATTTAATGCACTATGAATAGTTTTTATATCATCTAAATCTAAATTTTCAAGTTGAATTTTATTTTCTTTAATGTCTTTTTCTTTATAAGTCTTTGTAAACTGTAGATGGGGCAGATCAATATTTTTTAAAATTACATTGGAATCGGAGTAACCTTTTAAAACAACATCGTTTATTTGCACTTCACATTTGTCTTTAAGTTCTAACACGTAACTCCCGATTATTGGAAATAAGTCCTTATTATCCGCACAATTAATTCTAGCTACTAAAGATGTGGGGCTAATGATGATCCATTGGTTGTTTCCTAGATTTTGAACCATAAGAGAGGATACAGCTACTGGAACTTGTTGGCAATTGCTGGTATTACTTAAATATTGTAATAGTTGAACTTCACATGGAGACTTATCGGAAATGTTTAGAACATCAGTATTTCGGCATAGGTATTCTTCTGATTTTACAATATCGCAGTTTGTGTTCAGTAATGCAAAGTTGTGCTCATTTAAAATAAGGTATTTGGATTTAGGAATTATGATTTTATAGGTATCATTTGTAAATACAGGAAATGGGTATAGGTGAAATATATTAAAATTTTGTTGTTCAACTAAAGGCACTTGCAAAATAAAAATGATCTTACTTTTTTTTACATAGCTTTTGATTTTTATAATTTTTTCGAAAAGAAGAATATTTTCTAATTCAGGTTTAAATGGAAGTTTTTGATTATAAAGATGTTGATTTATATTTAAAATTTCACTAATTAAGTCCTTTGGATCTATAATTGAGTTGTGTAATGTATTTAATTTTGAAAATGTAATTGCAATTTGTATTTTTTCTAATATGTCATAAATTAATTGAAACATAATAGACAATTGTGAAAATATTATTTGCAAATGAAAGTGAAAGATTTCAGCAGTCGTTAAACGGTTTTCGTTGAAAAGCGTTTCGAGCTGTTTTATTTTGTTTTTTAATATATTTTGATTATTTGATAATATTTGAAAGTTGTTTTTAAATTTATTGATTGATATCTGTAGTAAGCTAATTTGATCGTTGATTAAGGATTTAAAATGATGTTGGTTATTAAGAAGTGTTTCTATTGATTCATCATATTTTTCTGCATCTTTTTGATCAAGGTTCCCGGTAATTGCTTTAATGATTGAACCTAGACCATCTATAAGCCCTCTCCTATTTCTGGGATTTATTGAAGGATTAATTTGAATAAACTGATTTTTAATTTTTGTTTCAATTGAATCTAAAATGCGATATGAATTAAAATAGTCTTGATGAAAACTAGAATTTTGAGTGGAATTATTAAAAATATTTTTTATTGACAAATAGTGGTTGCAAAGGAAGTTGAATTCGTCAGTTATATTTGTAATATCATATATCTGAATAAAAGACCAAGAGTTGGTTTGTAATTGTGCCTTGCCTAATTTTATGGGTAAGAGCCCTGGGTTTGAAGTTAATTTATGAAATTTGATTGGTTCTACATCTGCCTTTACGTGGGAGAGGAATCTGCAACAACAGAAGGTATTTTTAATTCCTTAATATGTACAGTTTCCACTTTTTTTGTCTTACAGTTTTCTATTTTTACTTTATTATTCTCTAAAAACCTAATTAATTTATAAGGACCTTTGTGTTTATTTTCCTTTTTACTACGCCTATCTACTTTTTTATAAACTATATCATTTTCTTTAAAATGAATTGGTTCAGGTCCTTGAATATTTAATTTATCGATTATTTGTTTTTTATATTTTTCATTTTTTTGGGAAATTTTTTCATATAAATTTCTGAGTTTATCATGATGTGAGGATATGTAGTCCGAATAAAACGCCTTTGTTATTAATTCAGATGGATCACGCAAGGTGGTATGGCCAAAAACCAGTTCGTGGGGGGTGAAATTTGTTACTGAGTGAATTGAACTGTTGTAAGCAATAATTGCATACTTCATCAAATTTATGTCGTCTTTATGTGTATTTCTTAAAAGTCTAAGGTGTTCAATAAGAGTTGAGTGAAATCGTTCTACTGGTGAATTTGATTCATGATGAAAAGGTGTTGTAAAATGAATAGTAATTTTGTGTAACTTAAGCATTTCCTTAAGAGTCCCGTTATTAAACTCACTACCATTATCCATAATAATTTTTAATGGTAATCCGTAGTACGAGAAGAAATCAAGAAGTGCGTTGCAACTCTCGATGGCAGTTGTGCCCCTTATTTCTATTGCTTGACCGAATTTTGAAAATTTATCAAGAATTGTTAGGTATATTTTATTATCAAACTTAAACGTATCTATGTGGACTATTTCGAATGGTTTGGATGGGGTTTCAGTGAGAACAAGTGGAACATAGGGTGGTTTTCGGTTATATTTAGCGAGTTGACATACCTCGCAATTATTTATAAAAGTTGTTATATCGGATTTCATACTTGGCCAATAATAATTTCTTTTGAGGTGTTCGGTTGTTTCGAGTATTCCTCGATGATTACATTTACCTTCGTGTTGAAATCTTATCATCATAATTTGTTCATGTTTTTCAATTACCGAATTTACTAATTTTGTACATTTAATAAGTTTTAATATATTAGTTGGAAATTCTTGAATATAAACTTTATTAAATGTTTCATAAAGTGTGTTATCAAAAAAGTATAAATAAAATGTAAGGCCGGAGGATGTAAATTCTTTAAGAAATTTAAGAACGAGATCTTCATTATATTTAGGAATTTTTACATTTAAAATTTTAAATTTTTGAAACTGAATTTTTTGTACTACGTCAAGTTTATTATGAACATTGGGTTTAATTAAAATTTGATTCGTTTTATTATTAATTATATCATCTAATATGGGAATACCGTTATTTGCAGTTTCAACACTACTTGAATGGGGGGTATTAATTGTTTGTGAGGGTACTAGTTTAATGTTTTGTAAAATTTTAACTTTTTGATTTTCTTTTTCCAATTGGTTTTGATTACTATCTTTATCGTCTAGATTTTCAGAAAATTCTTCAAAATATTCAAAAATTTCTTGATTTACTTCTCCCGGATTATTTATGACTGATTCGGTTTCTATTGCGTTAACTGCTATGCGTGATAATGCGTCGGCGTTTGTATTGTACTTTCCTTTTTTATAAATTATCTCGTAATCAAATTCTTCTAACCTAAGTCGCCAGCGTACAAGTTTTGAACTTTGTTCTTTAGAATTGATAAGCCACATGAGTGGGCGATGGTCGGTGTAAATTACAAACTTTCTGCCGAATAAATACGGTCGGAAATGTTTACAAGCCCAAACTATTGCTAAAAGTTCCTTTTCAGTAACAGAGTATTTTATTTCGGTGCCGTTTAATGTTCTAGATGCGTAGGCCACCGGCTTATCACGGGGGATTTTTCCTTGAGAGAGAACTGCGCCGATAGCATATTGACTTGCGTCGGTTGTTAGTACAAAAGGTTTCGTAAAATCAGGATATTGTAATACAGGGTCATTGGTTAAAATATTTTTGCAGGTATTAAAACATTTTATAAAGTCATTGTCATGAGTTACATAGGCGTTTTTCTTTAAACATTTTGTTAATGGTTTAGTCAGTTTGGCAAAGTCACGTATAAACCTCCTATAGTAGCCTAAAAGTCCAAGAAAACTCTTGATTTCTTTTTGGGTCTTGGGAATGGGAAATTTTTTTATTGCAGAAATTTTGTCAGGATTAGGTCTAACACCTTCAGGGGTGATAACATGTCCAAGGTACTGAACGGTTTTTTGAAGAAATTCGGATTTATCCAACTGTATTTTAAAGTTACTTTTTCTAAAACGGTCAAATACGGATTTAAGTCTGTCTAAGTGTTCTTGGAGCGATGAACTAAAAATGATTACATCATCAAGATAAACAAGGCACGTTTCGTTATGAAGGCCTCGAAGGACGTTGTCCATCACACGTTGGAACGTCGACGGAGCATTTTTTAATCCAAATGGCATTCTACGAAATTCGTAATGTCCACCTTCAGTTGAAAATGCTGTTTTTTGAATGTCTTTTGGGTCGATTTCGATTTGGTGAAAACCACTGGCC